AGCCAGCTTTCATACTTAAGTCGAGACTAGAACTCACTCTTTCCTGGCGACTGGCCCAAAGTCACCCAGCCAGCTTTCATATTTTAGGGAGGACTAGAACTCCCAGTCTCCCAGTTTCTAGCCTGATCCCCTCACCACCACATCAAACTGGCTCGTAATAGAGCCATTTCTCTCCAAAGAAAGATGAAAAAGTTTTTCTTCTGGATTCCCGGCCGGATGGCAGAGAGTTAATGCTTCTGCCTTCATTCCATTAATGTCAGGCTGCCCCCTTTTCTCTTCCCCCCCTCCCCATTACTGCAATTTGCATGTTTAAACCCTGCACCTCAAATTGGCAAAAAAAAAAAAGAGAGAGAGAGAGAGAGAGAGATCGAGCCACATAATGGAGAGCAGATGCCGGGGTGCAAGTTGGCTCTGGTGGAGATGGCACCCCACGTTTGGTTAGGGTCCCCGTGGACGGACGAGGCAGGCTTTGCTCGCTATTAAGAGCAGCCTTGGTGGAAGTCCGGGAAAGCGGGCACCCACCCTCCCGAGAGATCCTATTAAAATAATTGAATCTCCTCGCGAAATGCAGCCCACATGTGTGTGCGTGAGGGCGTGCATTTTATTTCCAGCCCCGGCTAAATAGCTGGGAGGTCTTCATCAACTGGGAAGTGTAGATTTCATGGAAAACCAGCCTTGCCAGATGCCGGAGTAATGGACTTCTAATTGACACGAGGAAGGGGAGGAGAAGAGAAGGGGGTCTTTTGCTGGTGGAAGGCTAATAAAAAAATCTCTTTCCTTTTCCAGCAATTCCAAGCAGGAGCAGGGGAAAAAAAAATCTTTTTTTTTTTTTTTGCAGCAGCAGCAGACCACTTTTCCAGAGCTTCAAGGATAAGGAAGTCTCCCGACGTACCACCTCAATTAGAATAGAGTAAGGGATAAGGAAAGTATAGAATAGGGAATAAGGAAAGAATAGAATGGAATGGAATGGACTGGACTGGAATGGAATGGAATAGAGTAGAATAGAGTAGAGTAGAGTAGAGTAGAGTAGAGTAGAGTAGAGTAGAATAAGGAATAAGGAAAGTATAGAATAGAATAGGGAATAAGGAAAGAATAGAATGGAATGAAATGGAGTAGAGTAGAGTAGAATAGAATAAAGAATAAGGAATAAGGAATAAGGAATAAGGAATAAGGAATAAGGAAAGTATAGAATAGAATAGGGAATAAGGAAAGAATAGAATGGAATGAAATGGAATGGAATGGAGTAGAGTAAAGTAGAATAGAATAGAATAAGGAATAAGGAATAAGGAATAAGGAATAAGGAATAAGGAAAGCATAGAATAGAATAGGGAATAAGGAAAGAATAGAATGGAATCGAATCGAATCGAATGGAATAGAGTAGAGTACAGTAGAATAGAATAGAATAGAATAGAATAGAATTCTTTATTGGCCAAGTGTGATTGGACACACAAGGAATTTGCCTTGGTGCAAATGCTCTCAATGTACATGAAAGAAAAGATACATTTGTCAAGAATCATAAGGTACAACACTTAATGATAGTCATAGGGTACAATAAGCAATCAAATCATATTAGGAAACAGTCAATATAAATCATAAGGATACAAGCGACAAAGTTACAGTCATACAGTCACAAGTGGGAGGAGATCGGTGATAAGGAGTGATGAGAAGATTAATAGGAATAGTAGTACATTGATAGTAATTCTCTAATCTTACAATAATAATACTAGGTGGGACTAGGGGAGACATGATAGCAGTGTTCCAATATCTCAGGGGCTGCCCCAAAGAAGAGGGAGTCAAGCTATTCTCCAAA